CCACTCTACACCTCTGATCTTGTACCTTCTAATATCTTTTTCCCCAAAACTCAACATTTAAAAGGAACATGATTTGAGTTCCTCAAAAATGCCAAAACTAGTTTTGATGCAGTATAAAAATTTTTGTTAAAGTGCCCTCTAGTTGATTCTGACTCATAGTGACCCTGTGTAGGGTTTCCGAAGAGCAGCTGGTGGGTTTGAATGCCGACCTTGTGATTTGAAGTCCAGTACTGATCCTACAGCGCCATACCAGCATCCAGTAACATAATAGCTATACTATTTATTGTGCACCTACTGCATGCATGCATTGTACTCAGTGCTTTATGTATACAATAAGGTGTTGTCAAGAGCACACACTGCCCAAATTAAACTCTTGGGCAGATTAGTTATCTCTTTGTGCCTCTGTTTACTCATCTGTAAAATGGGGGAAATAAATAGTAGTACTTATCCTGGAGTCTGAAGTCCTGGTGTAGTGCTGTGGGCTAATGCGTCAGACTGCGAAGTCGTTTGAACTGCAAGGTCAGTAGTTAAAGCTCTCCAGCTGCTCCATGGAAACCTTATACAGGGTTGCTATAGGTTGGAACCTACTCAACGGCACTTAACAACAAAATCCAGGAGTCCTGGTGTGATGCTGTGGGATAATGCACTGGACCACAAGGTCAGTGTGAACTGCAAGGTTAGTGGTTGAAATTCACCAGCTACTCCACAGAAACCCCATACAGGGTCACTTTGAGTCGGAACTGACTCGACGGCACTTAACAGCAACGTATGAGTAAGGAGCCCTAGTGTTAAGTGCCGTTGAGTCAGTTCTGATACTGAGAAGAAGCTGGTGGGTTTGAATGGCTGACCCTGTGGTTAGCAGTTCAGTGCTTATCCTACAGCATCCCACAAGGACTCCTAGGAACCTTGGTATCGTACTGGATTACAAGCTAGGCTGTTCATGCGGGAGAAAGATGAGACTTTCTGTTCCAGTAAAGATTTACAGCCTTGGAAACCCTATACAGGGTCTCTATAAGTGGGAACTGCCTTGACCCCATACAACTACCACCACCGCCATATGCTTATCATGAGGTTCAACTCAATTAGTGTACATAAACCACTTTGACTGACTAGTTCCTGACACAAAGTTATCACTGCATAAGTGTTAGCTATCATTATTACCTTTTGGAAAACACTGTGATAGTGTGACTACTAGCTCCGAGGAGTTAAATGACCTACCTAAGATCACAGTTAATAGGTTGAAAAACAAAGCCAGGTTTAAGGCTACCTTCAAAGTCCACATACTTTCCAACACATTGTTTCTGATTGTAGGTTAATTTTGTTGGATGATAACTTGGGTTACCTTAACAGTTTGACTTTAGTTCTTCATCCGTACTGTACTGAGTGTTAATGTGTGTGTCCTTAAGGCAAAGGGCCCAAGGGAATGCCTTTATTGGACTTCCACTTTGACATTTCCTGACCTCTGTGCAGTTAAAATATACGCCTTAAAGTATTTCAGCAACGTGGCTTATTTATAGAGTTATCTTCCGGTTCATGTGTACTGGGTTTGCTTTTTGTGCCACGTTTTCTGTCAAAGGTTGTTTATTTCTAACCCATTTTGATTTCCTGTTGCTTTGTGGTTTCATATTATGACCTGCAACAGGAACACCAGGAAATTTGTCTTAAATGGATCAGCCAGATTGAGACCCGGTAGGTTAAAAAGCAACAGAAAATGACACATTATACAGCCATATTTGGATGTCAGTGTGGGTTAGCATTGGCTATATTAGGAACACACCTAGATATAGAAACATTATTCAGAGCCAAACTTTTGTGAACAGTTCTTCTGAAATAGGGCCGGGATGTTGGATGTTGCCCTTGGGTAGTGACGTAATCTCTTTGAACCTCAGTTTCTGAATCTGTAAAATAGGGATTGTTATACTTTCTTTGTGACATTATTGAGCGGATTAAGTGAAATAATGTAGATAAAGTAAGCAACCTTTGCCTGACCTCAGTTACTGATATATTATTTACAGTAATTCTTTGTTGATTGTATATGTTACAGTTACCTTCTTTGCTTTATATTTTGTTTCTGGTTTCTTTGGTTGCTTTTGTTGAGCATAGGTTTTTATTTTTAATGTAGTTATATCTTTCCATCTTTTCCTTTATGACATGGGGAATATGGCAGCTCCATATGATAAGCTCCCACTTTGTGGGAGAAATATTTGCTTCTGCAAATATTTTTAAAGCCTTGTTAAGTGCATGGCGACCCTGTATAGGGTTTTTGAGGAGCAGCTGGTGAGCTTGAACCACTGAACTTGCAGTTCAAACGGCTTTACAGTCTGGCGCATTAACCCACAGCACCACACCAGGACTCCTTTTAAAGCCTTTGTTGTGTTGTTGTGAAGTGCCATCGAGTCGGTTCCAACCCATAGCGACCCTGTGTACGGTTTCCAAGGAGCAGCTGGTGAGCTTGAACCGCTGACCTTTCAATTCAAATGGCTTTGCAATCTGGCGCATTAACCCACAGCGCCACACCAGGACTCTTTTTAAAGCTTTAGGAACCCTGTATAAGGTCTCTGTGAGTCATTGGCACGTAACAACAACATTGATAATAGTAATTAAAGAAGAAGAGAAAATGACGTGCCTTCATTTTTTATTCAGCTCTGTTTTGACTGCCCTCATACAGTGAACACTGACACCTAGCAGCCACATCATTATTAAAAATTATGTCAGGAGAAATTATTTGCTTGTGCTACTCATGTGTTTTGAGAAATGATGATGATATCCACCATTTATTAAGCTGCTACTGTTTTCCAGACCCTGGTAGTTGTTATATGTGTAGCAGTATCTCCTGCTATTTCTCTCCTTTTGTATATGTAGAAAGTGATGCCCAGAGAAAAAGAATGACTTGCCCAAAGTTGAAGTTTGCATTCAGGTTTGACTGACTCTAGGCTACCTTGCATGTCAGTGATGTTGTTGTAAGTGCCTCGAGTCGGTTCTGACCCATAGCGACTCTGTGTAGGGTTTCTGAAGAGCGGCTAGTGAGCGTGAACCTTCAAGCTTATTGATCAAACTGACTCTGCAGTCCAGGGCATTAACCCACAGCCCCACACCAGGACTCCCAAGTTTTCTTATTAGCTGTGTCAGATGTGGCATCAAAGTCTTAGAAAGGAGAGATGGTAACTGTCAGTGTGTTTCATTTTTTTGTGCTGCTTCTGCCTGCCAGGCACTGTGCTAAGTGGTTTATCTGCATAACCTCAGTTCTTCTTACAACTCTAAAGAAATGTTGTTCCCATTTTACAGTCAAAGAAATTTTGATGCAGAGAGGTTGAGGGGCAAAGCCCATGCTCTTAATCACTCCATTTATACATAATCCAATTTTAGGGTGGGTATTTTTGTTTGTTTGTTTGCTTAATGAGGTATAGGACTGACTTTCAGATCATAGCCTCCAGGTATTTGGGGCTAATGGTTCTTGATCTTAAAATTAAGTGATAGCCAGATTCCTGCCCACAGCTATTAACACTACACTTGTCAGTTGGCTAGGACTGCATTCTGTCTCAGAGATTATAAGATCTTCCCATGTTCAAAGTCCTTGGAAACATAATGTATATAACTTCCATTAATGCAGAGGAGGGTGGCATTTTCCAGATACTCAGTTCTATAATATGGAAGACCTCAAACCTCAACCATGTCCCAGACTCACATTAAAGTAAAGTGTTTTCTAATTGGTAATCAGTGCATAAGGAACCAAAGAGAATTTTAATTAAATGCTGTTGTGTGAATTTTCCAGTCATTTTATGGCTGTTGAAATGGCTTTCTCATGTTTAAAATCCTCTTCCACTACTCTGTCCTCCCTCTTTATACTATAATCGTCTCAAGATTTTATTACTTTTTCTTTTAAGGGTTTAATTAGTGTCAATAAGGTTTAGTTTGCTGTAGCATTCTCTTAACTGTGTTTCCTGTGTTCTAAGAGACATTTTGTTCCAGTGGGAAGAACATGGGCTTTGGGATCCTACAGATCATAGGCAACTTACTTAAAGCTCTTTGAACTCAGTTCCTTCATCTTATAAAATGGGGCTAAAACTAATATTGGGAAGATTGTTGTTGTTGTTAGGTGCCATCAAGTCTGTATCAACTCATAACGACCCTGTGCAAAACAGCATGAAACACTGCCTGGTCCTGGGCTAACCTCACAATTGTTGCCACGCTTGAGCCCATTGTTGCTGCCACTTTGCCAGTCCATCTCTCTGGGGGATCTTCCTTTTTCTGACCCTCCACCTTACCAAACATGATATCCCTCTTTAGTGACTGGTCCCTCCTTGACAATATGTTCAAAGTCTCTGGGAGATCTTCCTCTTTCTCTGACCCTCTACTTTACCAAAAATGATCTCCCTCTTTAGTGACTGGTCCCTCCTGGCAATATGTCCAATGTATGAGAGGCAAAGTTTGGCCATCCTGGCCTCCAAGGAGCAATCTGACTACACTTCTTCCCTGTTTTGGCAGCCCATGGCACTTTCAGTATTCTCCTCCAACACCATAACTCAAATGCATCAGTTCTTCTACAGTCTTACTTACTCACTATCCAGCTTTCACATGCATATGAGGTTATTGAAAATACCATGGCTTGGGTCAGGTGTACCTTAGTCCTCAAACTGACATCTTTGCTCTTCAACATTTTAAAAAGGTCTTGTGTAGCTAACAACAAAGATTGTTATTAGCTGCCATCAAGTTAGCTCATGACTCATGGTAACCCCATGCCCAATGGAAAGAAATGCTGCCAGTTTTACACCATCCATATGCTTGGTTGTGGATCACACCATTGTGATAGAGGGTTTTCATTGACAACCAATGTCCTCTAGAGATAATGTATCTAAATTGCTAGCACAGAGGTCAGATTATAGTAGTTCTTGATCATTGTTAGCTCTTGTTTTCTGTTTCACTTGTTTCTTTTTTACATTTTTTTTTCTTTTTACACTGTTTTACTTAATTCTCCTTTTTGTCTTATTTTTTAGTGGATGCACAAGGATTGTCTTCACTCATGGCCTTGGGATTAAGGTGCTTTCGCTTGGCCTACCCTGCCTTTTGCAACTCTGTTGCAGCCCTGAGCAGATCTGTTTCAGACATTACGCTGAAGACAGTGAATAGAAGACAAAATGGCTATAGGCAGTACATAGCCTATCCAGCATTACCAGTCCGTCATTTTGCTACCAAGAAAGCCAAAGGTAGAGACATAAAACATTTCCCCCACATCTCTCCTTTCTTATATTTAGTTCTTGCATTGTCATAACTGTAAGATATCTCAGAGATGTATTCAATTTCTTCCCTTGCTCATATAAGCAACTGGTGCTTCAGATAGTTCAGTTTTTTAGCTTGTAAAGTCATAATTGCAGAGGTGATATTAGAATCCAGGACCTGTTTTCCAATTACCATTATACACCTGCCTATTTTTTTTTGTGACTCAGAAAATGCTTCATTTCTTTCTTTTAGAAAATTAGAATAATTTGGAAATAGAGGTATAAATGCCAAGCAAACCAGATCAAGACATTCTCTCCTTATTGGGCAATATATGCTGCAAATAAAATTAAAACCAGAAGGTTGTTGGGTGAGGGTATATTATAGTGTGGATTTAGATGGATGATCTTAATGGCTTGTGTCATCCAAGAATGAGTCTTTGATGTACCGCAGGCTTCAGCTTAAATGTTACTTCCTCAGGGAAGTCTTCTTTGGCCTCTTAGACTAACTAGGTCAGGTCCCCTGTGACATGCCCTCATGCACACTGTATTTTACCTTTGGTATACTTATAGTACTAATTAATTAATTATTAATTACTTAGAAAATTGATAGCTTGCTATCTGTCTCCTCTGTTGGATCCTTTGAAGATAGGGACTATGTCTTTCTCTAAAAAGTACCTACCACAGGGACTGACACAAAATATTAGAAAATTTTATTGAATGAATGGATGAGTGACAGAAAATTGTCAAACAGACCCAGCTATTTGCAGAGATGGGTCAGAGAGTCCACTTCCAAGGATAGTGCTAGGAATATACTGTTGAATATTTTCCCCACTGATCGCCTTTTCTGTTTTCATGAAAACCTTCCCCATTCTGATAATAGAAAAACTAACACATTTCTAATAGTGTGCATTCATACTTACAAGACTTATATTCTGTTAATAGTGATAACTTTTAATCTGTGTTACATTATGGGGGTGTGGTGGCTTTAGAGGCTAAGCACTGGACTGCAAAACAAGGTTGGTAGTTCAAGCCCACCAACCATTCGTGGAAGAAAGAGGAAACTTACTGCTTGCGGAAAGATTTACAGCCTAGGAAACTTTATACAGGGTTGTCACTATGAGTCGCAACCAACTGGACAGCACTTAACAGTACAAAAACATGCTACGTTATATTTTACAGAAATTTTTAACATGTAATAATTTGAGCCTTATGTTTATTTAATGAAAAAATTATAATCATACAGTGAAGTACAGATCTCATCATTTCACGAATGAAGAGACTGAGGTACATTTGTAAGAAGTTTGTCTAGTTTGTGTCTAGTTGGTGGTGGAACTGGAAACCTGTAAATCCTGACACCTACATCATCTCAGTCTTCTAGTAGCTAGGCATTAACCAGTGTATAAGCAGCAGCTTTTTGTATTTTATTGGCTGTTCAATCTTTCTTCTTTGATTGTCTCTTTAAAAAGGTGGTTTGATTTTTTTTTTACTTTTAGATCTATTTGATTATTTCTGTATTATTATACTTTTTTGATTATATATGTTTCAGCTATCTTCTTTACTTTATGCTTTATTTCTGGTGTTATTTTGTTGTTATTGAACATAGGCTTTAAAATAAGTAATCATGTCTTTCTGTCATTTTCTTAATCACGTGTGCTTTTGTGTCTTTAAGAAATCCTTATACCACGGTCTTAACACTATTCTGTATTATAAACATTTAAAAATTATTTGCTCTTCATATTTGGTTTTTAATCCATATGCAATTTATTTCTGAATGTCATGTAAGGTAGAGAATCTGCCTTATGTTGGATATACGTATTTTAGTTCTATTAATTGTTTCAGCACCACTTATTGAATATACCATCCTTTATTCCCAGATCTGTAATGACCCTTTGCCATATGGCAAGTATGATTACGGAGTTATCAGTTTTTCCTTTTAATTCTGTTAATGTTGAGGCTATACTATTGGTTATATTTAAGCTTATAAATGTGTCTTTTTGGTGAATAATTTCTATTATTATTCTGAAGTTGTTGTTGTTAAGTGCTGTTGAATCATTTCTGACTCATAGAGATCCTATGTAGCTTTTCCAAGGCTGTAAATCTTGGTGGGAGCAGAAAAGCTCATCTTTCGCCCATGGAGCAATGGGTTGGCTGGAACTGCCAACCTTGTGGTTTGAAGTCCAGTATTTACCCTATAGAGTCAGCATGCTTCTGATTATTATGAAGTAACCTTTATTATTTATAGTGATGTATTTAATCTAATAAGACACTTAATTTCTATTATTATGATGATTTTTTGTTGCTATTAAGCGCCATTGAGTCATTCCCAACTCACAGTGACTCTGTATAGGATTTCCAAGGAGCACCTGGTGGGTTTGAACTGCCAGCCTTGCGGTTAGCAGTCCAGTGCTTATCCTACAGTGCTATACCATGACTCCCATTATGGAGTAACCCATATTATTTCTAATAATGCATTAATCTTAAAATCTACTTCATTTAATAATAACATAGCTACAACAGTTTTCTTTTGGTTAATATTTGTTACTGTTATTTTCTTTTCCTATGTATACAATTTTCTGTGTTTTTGGAAACTTGCTTATAATTGTATATGGCTGGTTTTAAAAAAAAATCTCACAGAGAATCACTTAACTTTATGTAGGAATTTTGGTCCATTTATATTTATTGTGATTGCTGAACACATTTACTTATTTTTATATTTCTATCATTTTATTTTGTATTTTAATGTGGTTTTTCTTTGTTTATTTTTTCTCTCCTTTTTCTGTTGGATTAATCAAGTTTATTTCCCTTTTTCATCTCTTCTGATTTGGAAGTTATACATTCAATTTTTTTTATTGTTTTGATGGCTACCCCTAATTTCTTTAACTTACAGAATTAAGAAAAAAACTTGGGACTGTAAAATAGTACAGCCATTTTGGAAGACAGTCTGGAAGTTTCTTATAAAACTTAACATATGAGGTTACGTCAAAAAAATAATGTGTCAAAAACCGTAGAAAAGTTTATTGAACAGAAATATCAAAATGTGAAACTATTGTTCCTTGACATAACCTCCATTTAGGTGTATGCACTTCTAAAGGTGGTGTTTCCATCTCTGTAGCCATTCCTTGAAGAATTCTGTGCTCTTCAATTTGCACCATGTCAAAATTGCAGCCTCTTTGATTATGTTTGTGACATTGATCTTAAATTGTTCTCTGTAGTTGTAGCTCATTATGTAGTTGTAGCTATATAATATTTCATTGTGTGAATATACCACTACAAGGGGCTTTCAAAAGTTCATGGAAAAATGGAATTAAAAGCTAATGAAATTTTCCCAGTAACTTTTTGGAACTTCCTCATATGTATCCATTCTAATATTATAATTAAAAATTTTTAATATGTCTACTTAAAGTCCTGGTGTGGTACTGTACGATAAAGCACTGAACTTCAAGGTTGGTTTGACCTGTAAGGTTGGCAGTTCAAACCCATTACTGCTCCTTGGAAGCCCTGTACAGTGTTTCAATGATTTAAACAAAAACAACTTGATTTAAAAAGCCTTAAGTTTATCATTACCTCTTTTTCCTAAATGATATGAGGACCCTGGACATTTTTAGCTTTGATCATCCTTTTCTTTCTTATTTGTAATTACTGTAATTATTACTCATTATTTTAATTCCATCTTGCTTTTAACCCTCTCTGGGATTAAATTAAGTTGTTTTATTGATACTGTTTTGCATCCCAGTACTCTTTTACATTTGTCACACTGACAGTGTTTTTTGCCTACCATTGTTGCTTTTCATTCCTTCCTGATGCATTCTGTTTCCTTCTTCTTGAAGTATATCCTTTAGTATTTATTAACATGAACCAATAAAACTAAGCCATTAACCACCAAACCATTGCTGTCAATGATGATTCTGACTCATAGCAACCCAGAGGAGAACTGCCTCTAAGGATTTCCAAGGCTGTTACCTTTATGGAAGCAGACTGCCATGTCTTTTCCCCATAGAGTCACTGGTGGGTGTGAAATGCTTACCTTTCAGTTAACAGCTGAGCACTTAGCCTCCGTGCCACCAAGGTTCCTTAGTAAAGTGAAGGTTTGATAATGTCTGTATTTCTGAAAATAACTTTTGCTCTCTTTTACTGTTAAAATAATAGTCTAGTTGGGCAAAGAATTGTAGGTTGACCTTTGTTTTACCCTTTAAGTATTTTGAAGATGGTATTTCCATTGTTTCTAGCTTCTTTTGTTGGTCTTGGAAAGTATCAGAGGGCATCAAAAAGTTTGTGGAAAAATTCCATTTTCTTTGAAATCCATTTTTCAATGAACTTTTTGAAGCCCCTTGTATGCTTATCATTTAAAAATTTGATGTTTTATGGATAATTTGTCTTTTGTTTTTTGATTACTTTTAGTATCTCTTTATCCTTGGTTTTCTGTACTCACAGATGTCTAGATATGGACTTTTAAAAATGTACGTACACCGAAGCACTCAGAAATATATAACCATTCAAACAACCAAACAAGCCTGCCACCCGGCCGTCAGCACACAATCCCTTTCTCCCTCCCTGAGTCCAGAGTCCCCAGCTGTTCCATATCTCCTTGTCATTGTCTCTGCCTCCATCTCTTGCATCAAAAGGATCCCGCACTCCGCTGTTCTCCTTTGATGGTCACAGCGTCCTCTGTTCCTGGACTGCAAGATCAACCACTTCCCCTCCTTTTGTTACAAAATGTCTACCTTTGCATTTGCAACATTAACAATCAGTCCTGATAGCAGGTATTCACTGTTGAACCACAAGAGTCTTATCCCCATCTCCTTTCACCAGCCCTGTCCAGACAAGTTGTAAACCACTTAGCAGAGATTCTATCTTCCCCCGCACCCTCTGAAACCAGGCTCCTTAAAAGCCCGCAAGCCAGTCACTTCGTACCTTGGTAGTTCCCCCATTTTGGGTAGCCCATTTCTAAGTTGCCCATCCCTGTCAACCCTGAATACTGAGGATGTGGGAATGATACTTGCTGTAAAGATTTGTTCCCTCTTTTGAGCTACTACATCCGTAAGTATAGGTCAAGTTCATCAAATTGTAGCAGATTACTCTTTTATTCTAGTCAAATTCTGATCATCCAGCCATTGAAGCTGGGTCAAATGAGTACCATCTGCAAGTATGGGTGTTCTTGTGAATCTCCCCTCACTTCATATAAGCTGGACGCTTCACTCTCCACTCTAGTAGATTGGAACTTTCTTTTATTTATCCTATTTGGAATTTGTATTTCTGAATCTGAAGATTCATATCTTTTTGGATGGTTAACTTGGGTAAACCACTTAAGTTACTTGTGCCTCAGATTTCTCACTTATACACTGGGGACAATAATAATCCTTATTCTTTTTACCATGGGTAGCTGCCTTGAATATTAAATAGAATAGTTGACTTGTAATTGCATTGCAAATTATACTATGCTGTACAGCTAGCACAGACTCCAAGTCATTATAGGTATTCGATAAAATTTGAATTAACTCAATAAATATGTGTTGATGTTCAGTGAATAAGTTGTAAGATAACATTATCCATTAGTCTTAAGTTTTCTTCTTCTTCGCCCATTCCACCATAAAGAAACCCAGTAATATTTATATCACTCATAAGAATGATCTATCTATATATACACTATAGAACATATGTAAAAATCACTTTGATTGTTTAGACATGTTCTAATTTTTATTCACCTCCCAGTGCTATAGATTTTCTTACAAATAAGCCATTGTTGTTGATTTTCTAAAAGATGAGCTGTTGTCACTACTACTGGTAGCTACATTTAATGTCTCCAAACTATTGTTGATCCTTTTGTCTAGTCATCAGGTACTTTGCATATCCTTGTCATACTATCCTTTTTTTTTTTTTTTTCCATGCTATCCATTTTTAAATGAATCAGTATGTTTCCTGTCTCTCCAGTTAGATTATTTGGAGACTGTCTAGTAGAAACTTCATGGGTTTCAAATTAGGCAGATCTGAAACCATAACCTGGCTTTTACATATGTCAACCTAGTGATGTTTGCTTAGTAAGTCACTTTACCTTTGTCATTCTGTGTTTTTTTTCTGAAAATTAAGTAATTAATTTATTGTGGAGCACCTGCTGTGTAATGTTCTTTTTACATATTTGGATCACATTACTTGTATCTTTATAGCGTTCTTTCACTGTAGCTATTATCCCTGTTTTACAGGTTGAGAACCTAACAGAAAGGTAGAATAACTTGCCCAAGTTCATGAAGCTAGTATGCATCATAGCCACAATTTAAACTTGGGGCATCTGATTGCAAAGCTTGTACCTTCATTAATAAATCTGACAAAGTGTTTCTCATAGTGCTTGGACCTAGTTGATATTTAGTAAATGTAGGTTCATTTTGAGGGCTGTGATAGTGTTTTATAATTTTCTTGGACTTGCCATTTTTTTTTTTCTATACACAGTAGGCACTCTATAACTAATTACTTATTGTCTTTGTTTAAGCTGCTGTCCTTTTATTCACTGAATGTTGACTTTCTAGCCAAAGGAAAAGGACAGTCCCAAACCAGAGTGAATATTAACACGGCCTTGGTTGAGGATATAATCAACTTGGAAGAGGTAGATGAAGAAATGAAGTCTGTGATGGAAACACTCAAGGATAATTTCAATAAGACTCTTAATATAAGGACCTCACCAGGTTAGTGCCTTATCTGGTGTTTCAGGGAGGGGCATAGTGAAAAAAGTATGGCTTTGGCAGAGCTGAGTTTTAGTCCTAGCTTTGCCACTTACAAACTGGTGGCCATGGGTGGTTATTCTACTTCTCTTATCCTCTGTGTCTTTGTCTAAAAATAGGGATACAGTGCTTACCTCATAGGGTTAGGCTGAGCATTGTATTAAATGAGGTGATATATATATAAGTTGTACAGTGTATAGCACATATTTAACACTGAATTTATACATTTAACTAATAGTTGTCTACTATGAATCAGACATTGTGCTAGTGTACACTGGTAAGCAAAAATAGTATGGTTTTGTTCTCCTGGAATTATCCTGTTAAGAAATGGGAACTAGTATTCTGAATGTGTTACTGTATAAATGATCTGGGGGCATTGTCTGACTTCTTCTAACTTCACAAGGGAGAGGAGAATCAATACCAACAGCCCAGTGCTTATTCCTGTCTACTTCTCTGCTGGGTTTTATAATTTGTTGCAGTGGCCTCATAGAACTCATACAAACGATTCTCACAATTACGGGGCTTTGTTCTGGAAGTAACAGGATACAATTCAGGTCGGAAATAACTCGGGGTACAGTTCTTTGGTCAGTACAGCTTCTTAACTGTGCTCGCAGGTATACCTCTTCCTGGTCCTAGGCCTTTTGGTGAAAAGATACAGAGCTGATGCACACCTTTCCTGATATTAAGCCATGCAGTATCCCTTGTTATGTTTGAACGACTGCCTCTTAGTCTATGTACAGGTTCTGCGCGAGCACAGTTAAGTGTTCTGGAATTCCCATTCTGTGCAATGTTGTCCATAACTTGTTATGTTCCACACAGTTGAATGCCTTTGTGTAGTCAACAGAACACAGGAAAGCATCTTTCTGGAAACCTTAGTGGGAACCAAATGACTGCAAACTTGCCCGCTTACGGCATTTCTGTACCCCTGAGCTTGACCAGGAAGATTCTGTTTGGGTTAATAACTTCCTGAAAGTGACTTTTCTAAGTGGGAAATGTCAGAACTGTCCAGGAGAACTGCTTGCAGATGTGATGGAGAAGTGAGTTGTCAGCTAATGGTGCAGGCAGGCAGGAAAAATCCAATTGCTGTTAAATTGGCCTTTTGGAAATTGCCATCATCCTAGAGTTAAGCCCAGGACCCCCTCTGAAGGTGTCTGTGGGAGTTTGGGCTGCTTCCACTGCATCTTGGTTGAGATAGTTTATAAGGAAACGAAAAAATATTTAATGAACTTGTTCTTAAGAAAACCGTTACAGCTGCATTTATAAACACCATCAGAAGCATACTGAGTTGAGATGAGATCCATTGCGAAACCGAAGACCATTCCCCTTATTTGTCAATTTTAGACTGGGGCATTTCTGCCTTTGTTGACAGTAGAGCGTGCCATTCAATCTCTCCCAACTGTTTATTTTAAACTTGCTTATTATTTTAGGTATGAAACTGATAAAGTGCTCTGTCTCCCTTGTGCTTTCTGGCCTGTTAACATTCTGCAGCCGAAACCAGAGAACAGTTTGAGAGTTGCTCAGGGAGAAATGTGATACTTAAAATTAGCCAGCAAGCTCCACTCATGTTGAACTTAAAAAGATGATGGGCCTGGAAAGAGGTTGGGAGTGTAATTTGTTAAATGTTAACCTCTGAGAAAATGAGGGCCAAGAATGAGGCTCAGGGAGATTCTCGCTGGGGACAGATTGAGGGAAAAGGATTTGATGCATTATGTCGATATAGATTTAGGGACTAGGAACCGCCAAAATTGCATACTGAAAAGCCCATGTTGGGTCTTATGTGGCAAAGGATGTTATGGCAAATCAGGAAGGCTGAATTAAGATCCTTTTCAAAAGGCCTCCCGTTGGTATTTCCTCTTTGCGTCTTTCTTTTCAGGGTTATGTTTGTGTAACATTCTATGTAGAATTTAGGGTCAGGAAGAGACTGGGTATAACGGGCTGAACTTATAAATCATCTTTTTTGCCAGATTCTTATAAATCACATTTCATTACCATCTGAACCAGCCTGCACGTTTCGTCTGACACCTACATCTGTCCGACGATTGCTGTCTCCAAGACAGTTGACCCTTAATTTTAAACTATTGTCTAAGATACAGGTTGCTGTGACTCGTACAGCACTTAACAAGAAAGATACAGGTTTACTTGCTCGTTCATTCTTGCCCTCTGTTTTATCCATCCATTCATTCATCCCTCCATACATTTATTCATTCACCACAGCATTACTAAGCACTTACTTGTGTAGATTAACTTTTAATAGGTGCTATTATAGAGTCCTGGTATAATGTTGTAGGGTGAACACTGGACTGCTAACTGCAAGGATTCACATCTACCAGCCACTCCTTGAAAACCCTATATAGGGTCGCTATGAGTCAGAGCTGACTCGACTGCACTTAATAACAACAAATCATAGGATCCCTGGTGGCGCAGGAGTAAGTGCTTGGCTGTTAACCAAAATGTCAGTGGTTTGAACCCACCAGCCACTCTGTGGAAGACAGGTGTAGCAGTCAGCTTCCGTAAAGATTACAGTCTTGGAAACCCTCAGGCGCAGTTCTACTCTGTCCTGTATGCTGCTATGAATTAGAATTGACTCAGTGGCAGTGAGTAATGGTAGGGTCACTGTGAGTTGGAACCAACTTGATAACATACAACAGCGACAGTGGAGGCAGAGAGAAAAGACATTGTCCCCACCTTCTAGGAGCCTAATGTAAAAGAACAAGCAAATAACCCCACATGTATAAACCATTACAGCAAAGCTGACTGAAAGACCTTGACTTTGGAGTGAATCAGACTTGAGATTGAATCCTGGCTCCATTATTAAGAACTGTTGTGACCTTGGGCAAGTTACTCTCTATTTTTCAGGTTTCTCGTATGTAAAATGGTAGAACTAGTAACACCTATCTCCAAGGAGTCCTGGTGTGCTGCTGGAGGATAAGTCCTGGACTGCTAACTGCAAGCTTGTCAGTTCAGCCCCATCTATACAGGACCACTGTGAGTTAGAATCTACTCAACAACGCCTAACACCAATCTCATAGGGTTATTGTGAGAAGGAAACAAATCATTGAAAGCATTTAGTACAATATTTTGCTCGTAGGAAGTACTCAGTAAATATTGACTATTATTATCATTATTAGAGTGTTCATAAGGTACTTGTATGGTGGTGATCATGTGCCATTAAGTTGGTTCCAACTCATAACGACCCTGTATAGGGTTTCTGAGAATATAAATCTTTACAGAAGCAGAAAGCCTCATTTTTCTCCCATGGAGTAACTGGTAGATTCGAACTGCTAACTTTGCAGTTAGCAACTCAACTCATAACCCACTACACTATCAGGGTTCCTTTTATAGGATACTTCTTGTTGTTGTAAATGTCGTTGAGTTGTTTCCGACCCACAGTGACCCTGTATAGGGTTTCTAAGGAGCATAGAACATAAAAAAATTTTTTTTTTTTTTAAGTTTATAAAAGAGCCCTGTGATGGCACTGTAGGATAAGCACTGGAATGCTAATCTCAGGGTTGGTGGATCAAACTAACAGTACCAACAACCTAGCCTAGAAAGTAAGACAAGATATCTAGAATTAATTGCTATATGCTGTTGTTTAGTACCATTGATTCAGTTCAACTCATTGTGATCCTGTATAGGGTTTCTGAGGAGCGGCTGGTGAATTTGAACCACTGACTGACTTTTTAGTCTAGTGCTTATTCTATAGCACCACACCAGGACTTCAGATGCTACTATTTGTTGTTGTTGTTAGGTGCCTTCAAGTCGGTACTGATTCACAGCTACCCTATGCACAACAGAACGAAACACTGCCTGATCCCAGGCCAACTTCACAATTGTTGCTACGCTTGAGCCCATTGATGCTGCCACTTTGCCAATACATCTTGCTGGGGGTCTTCCTCTTTTTCTCTGACCTTCCACCTTACCAAACATGATATCCTTCTCCAGCTACTGTCATTCCTGACAATATGTCCGAAGTATGAGAGAAGATGTTTGGCCAACCTGGCCTCCAAGGGGCACTTTGGCTGCATTTCTTCCAACACAGATCTGTTGATATAGCTGAGGGTTAAAGAATGAGCAGGAGTTATCTGAACAAAAGGAGTTACACAAGAGTCCTAAGGCAAGAGAGGACAGAGTATATTAGAGAAATTATATGTAGGTTCCTTTGGTTAAAACCTAAAAGAAAGTCAAGAAGTAGTAATAATAGTTAACATGTATTGGGGACTTTCATATGCCAAGATATAGTTATAAGTGTTTTAGATACACTTATTTCTTTTAATCATCTTAACAGCCTTGTAAGAACAATGTTTATACCCCATTCACACATCAGGAAATGGAGGTCTGGGAGGGTGACGGGATCTATCCAGGGTTACACAATCAAGAAGTGATGGGGTTGGTATATGAACCCAGGTCACCTGTGTTTGGAATCATGGAAATTCTTACCATTTTACCTCCTGGATTCATCTAGGTGGGAGCTAGTAGTGTCAACCTTCTGTCTTGTGATGACATTGAATTTAGTTGAACATGTCAAGTCAGATCCTTGGGCCATAAGATGGTATTGCAGAATTCTAACATGAATTTGCTAGGACAACGCTAGTTGTACAAAAGACTCATCTCCCCCTTTATCTTTGTGTGTCAAAATAAGCTCATTCTAGTTCTCATTTACACAGGAAATCAGGGAATTTAAATAACGCTCCTCGTCCATCTATAACTATAGCTTTATTTGATTGCCTTCTTAGGTTTCTGAAAATTTTTGCCTAGGGTTTTTCAGAGTTCAAATATCAATGAAAATGTTGAGATCCAGGAAAACACTGAAGTGTACATGGTATTGTGTTGCTTGCTTTTCTTTTCAAGGTACTTGTTTCTGAAGGGAATCTAAGTGCCAAAATCAAGGTGGTATAAGCGAAGCTGCATGGCAGAATCATACGGTGAATTAAAAAAGAAGAATTTCAACCCTCCCAACCCCCATTACAGGCCTCCATTCCATCACAGAACCTGGATATCTAGCAGGGGTGTGTGGTAGAGCCAGGAAGCTTTGCTTAACAAGTCTCTTGTGATTCTGATGGACAGCTAAATTTAATTCCAGTGGTATAAGGAAGAAGGAGCCCTGGGGACAAGGGAGATTAAAGCACTTGACTTCGAATCATATGTGCAGCAATTGAAACCCATCAGCTGCTTCTCAGGAGAAAGCTGTTAACAGTCTGCTTCCATTAAATTCCAACCTTGGAAACTTGATGGCGCAGTTCCACTCTGCCCTCTAGGGTCAGTATGAGTTGAATTGATTCAATGGCAATGGATTTTGGGTTTGGGATAAGGAAAGAGCCTTGATTGTCATTGGAATTTAGCACACCTGATTTTTGGGTCTTAGTACTTGGTTGTTTTTCTTTTCGTTAGCTCTAGGAACTTGGGCCAGTCACGTAAACTCAATTTATCTCAGTTTTTCTCATCTATAAAGTGGGGAGAGCGTTACAATATTACAGGGTGGATATGAGAACTAAGAGGTATCTTCTCATACGTATGAGGAGAGCTTCAAAAATTTTAAGGGAAAATGAAAATAGGATTTTTTTCTGGTAGCGTAGTGGTTACAAATCGAGCTGCGAACCTTAGGGTCAGTGGTTCGAAACTACCAGCCGCTCCGCAGGAGAAAGATTTACACCCTCGGAAACCCTGTACAGGGTCGCTATGGGTCGGAACCGACTCAACGGCACTTAACAACAACAAACAACAACACAATTTTGAAGCCCCCTTATATTTTACTACTTCACTGTAGGGTAAGCACTGGAATGTTAAACACAAGGTTGGCTGTTCAAACCCACCAGTTGCTCTGAGGGAGAAAGACAAGGCTTTTTGTTCCTGTAAAGGTTTACAGCCCTGTAAGACCTCAAGGTCGGTTTGAACCACAAGGTTGGCGGTTCAAACCTTACCAGCCTCTCTTTGGAAACCCTATAGAGGGTCGCTATAAGTCAGAACCAACCCAACGACACCTAACAACAACAGTGAATATTGGTGTGAGTATGCTTAGAAATCAGCTAAATCTAGGTGGATAGGGACCTAGATGTGGTGATATGAAGGTCCTTTGAATTAAAAAAAAAAAAAAAACTGACTGCCATCGAGTCGATGCCAACTCATAGTGACCTCCGAGGCTGTAAAGCAGTATGGGTGCAGAATGCCTCCTCTTTCTCCTGTGGACTGGCTGGTAAGTTTGCACTGCTGACCTTGCTCCTACCCTTGAATTCTAAGAGCGTATCATTTTTCTTTAGGATCCCTTGATAATATCACTGTGGTAACTGCTGATGGAAAGCTTGCTTTAAACCAGATCGGCCAGATCTCCATGAAGTCACCACAGCTGATTTTGGTGAACATGACCAGCTTCCCTGAGGTAAGGTGGCATGCTAACAGGGTCCTTCTCCATGGGCTCTTTTGGAATAGAAGTAGCTGTGTCAGGTTAGGAGGAGGTGTTTCTCCAGCTTGGAAGAAAAAGAAGAGAGAAGACATAATAAAGAGGACAGAGAAAGTAGAGGCTTTCTGCTCCCGTAAATATTTATAGCCTTGGAAACCCTGTGCAGGGTTGCTATGGGTTGGAACCGACTCGACGGCCCTTAACAATAAAGATAAGAAAGGTGAGCAGTTCAAACCCACCAGCTGTTCCTCGAAAACCCTAGACAGGGTCCCTATGAGTCAGAACTGACTCAATGGCACTTAACGACAATAACAACAAGTATAAGGAAAAACTCTTCCTGTTTCTGAATTCTCTTTTTGTTAAACTCAGATGCTATAGGAGCCAGACAGATAATTTGAATACTGAACGAGACCCCATCTAAGAAAAAGAAGAATGGAAATGAAGTGTTGGGTACCTGCAGTGGTGTGGAAGCGACTGTGGTAACTGGAAAGCCTGTGCCTTGTCTGAGGGGCCGGCCTGGCCTTAGCTCCCACTGATCATTAACAGACAGATACGTAGTCCTAGCAGTCAGCGCTACTGGATATTGCAATTTTGTTTCCAGAAGCAACTGGTAACCCAAGTTTTTATGTGAGGTCTTTGTTCATTAAATGTTGATAACTAATTCACTTTTTAAAAGACTATGAGGCAAAGAAAGCGCATTAATGGGCTAGCTCTGCTCTGTTGGCCACCAGTCTGTAAACTCTGCGTTAGTATCTGGAGCAGTCCTCTCAGGAATTCACATTCCTTTCAAACTGGACTGGCCATTGCAGGATAGCACACAGAACACAGTGCTACCAAGGTTGGAAGGTGGGTTGTATTCAGCCATTGCAACCATGAGATATTATGGTTCTCAGTCTACTTGAGAAAGGTAATTGGGCTTTTCCTTATTGGTCTAGTAGGAATTGGCCTATATCAGTTCCTAGAAAACCTGGCATGTAGTCGCACCTCTACTACCAACAGGTTGTTGATCCAGCTGCTTTACTTTTTGGGCTTCCATTCTTCATGAGGTGACAAGAATTTGAAATTCCTTCCTGTTCTGATTGTCTGTTTCAATAATTCTATCCTGAAGAAAGTCCAAGCTTGGTTAGAGATCTGAGAATGAGAAAGCCCTTGCTGTGAATATATGGTTTTAAATCAGAGGGCTTTTTTAGCCAACATGCCAGGCGTACTCTTACTCACCACTCCCCCATTCCATTCCATATTGCAGGTAAAGTGAGCTTTTAAAAGTCTATGTTGTATCATGCCATTCCCATGGTGGGTATTTATCACTGGCTTAGTCAAGGATATGTGTGTTTTTTCCAGTCTTCTTTTGGACCACTTTCCTCCTTGTGTTCCCCAAACACACTGCGCCCTTTCCATCCTCAAGGCCTTGGTGATGCATATGCTTTTCCCTTTGCTTGCAACACTCTTGTCTGGCTAGTTGCTGTTCATATTTCAGGTCATAGTTTAAATGCCACATTCTCAGGGTAACTTCCCTTAATCTTTCCAATGTAAATTATTACTCCATACTAAACTTGCACATAGCGTAATCCTTTTTCTTCACTGCACTGATTACTATTAATCGTTGCAGTTACTTGCATGTTTATTTTTCATTTCACGTTCACTAGATTGTTATTGTTGTTAAGTGCTGTCCAGTCGATTCTGACTCATAGCGACCCTGTATAGAGTTTCCGAGGAGTGGCTGGTGGGTGTAAACCACTGGCCTTGTGGTTCAAACTGATCTTGCGGTCCAGTACCTAGCCTACAGAGCCACACCAGGATTCTTTTCACTTGAGTATAAGTTTGGAATGTAAGAATCATATCTTACTTATCCATTGTGCTCAGCAACTAACAAAGTACCTGGCACATGGAAGCACTTAGTAAATTTTCTTCAATGGGTTGGATCGTTGTCATTAGGTTCCGGGAAGGGAGATACTCATTTCTGGTGTTACTGAAGAGCAGCAGAAAGGAAACTATCAGCTTTTTCCCTTTCTGTTCCCCCTGAACCATTGAGGCATCTCCCTGATTCATCTAATCTAGGGCTTTGAAGTGGTTCATTTTGGTTCAACTCCCTGCTGAGGATTTTGCATTTATACCCCAGATATGTCAAGAAATTTGGAAGACAGCTATTTGACCAGTTGAGATTGGAAGACATCCATATTTGTGCCCATACCAAAGAGCAGTGACCCAATGGAATGCAGAAATGCCTGGACAATATCCTTAATATCACATGCAAGTAAAATCTTGCTAAAAATAATTCAGAAACGGCTGAAACAGTACATTGACAGGGAACTGCCAGAGGTTCGAGCCAGATTCAGCCAAGGACATGGAACAAGGCATATGTGCTTTATTGACTACACAAAGGTTTTTAATTGTGAGGATCATGACAAGCTATGGACAACATTGTGGAGAATTAGTATTCTGGAACACTGAATTGTACTCATGAAGAACCTGTCCACAGACCAAGAGGCAGTTGTTAGAACAGAACAAGGGAACATTGAATGGTTTAAAATTAGGAAAGGTGTGTGCCAGGGTTCTTTCACCATACTAATTCATTCTGTATGCTGAGCAAATAATTTGAGGAGCTGTATTATATGAAGAAAAACGTGGCGTCAGGATTGGAGGAAGACTCATTAACAACCTGCAAAATGTTGAGGATACAATCTTGCTTGCTGAAAGTGAAGAGGTCTTAACATACTTATTAATGATGATAAAAAACCACAGCCTCTGGTGTGGGTTGCATCTCAATGTAAAGAAAATAAAAATCCTCACCACTGGACCAATAAATAACATCAAAATAAATGGAGAAAAGATTGAAGTTGTCGAAGACAACACTCATGGAAGCAGCAGTCAAGAAATCCAATGATGTGTTGCATTAGGCAAATCTGCTGCACAAGATCTCTTTAAAGTGTTCAAGAGCAAAGATGTTCAAGAGCAGTTTATGGACTAAGGTGCGCCTGACCCAAGCCATGCTATTTTCATTAGCCTCATATGCATGTGAATAAAGAAGACTGTAGAAGAATTGATGCATTTGAGTTATGGTGTTAGAAGAGAATATTAAAAGTACCATGGACTGCCAGAAGAACAAACAAATCTGTATTGGAAGAAATACAGCCAGAGTTCTTTTTAGAAGCCAAGATGGCCAGACTTTGTCTCTCATACTTAAGTCATGTTATCAGGGGGACCAGTTCATCATGCTTGGTAAAGTCATTAGAAAAGAGGAAGACCCCCAGCAAGATGGATTGGGCTCAAGTGTAGCAATGATTGTGATGTTGGTGCAGGCCCAGGCAGTGTTTCATTCTGTTGTGCATAGGGTCACAAAAATGTAGATGCCCAGGTGACTAGGGATCTGTAAGAATCACCTGAGCAACTTGTTAAAATGTAGATTCTGGTTCAGTGTATTTGGGATGTGAAGGCAAATTCTCAGTAGTGGTGTGAACCAGAATGAACCGGTTCAAAGCCCTAATCTAACCCTATGGGCACTGCAAGCCAATTTAAGGAGTAGCCTAATTACACAGCTGGAAGACCTCATCAAGCAGATTGCTTTTCTGAGTCAGCCATGACTGTTATTAAATAGCAAATGACATGCATGGAGCAAGCACGTAATTGGCTACCAGAACATCTTATGAGGCAGGAAGAGGCATTAACAGCTTAATTTTTCTCATGAAGTTGGAGCATATTGTCATTTTTTAACCAAAGCATCTTGTCATTTCTCCTGATTGAAATTCTGAGGGTTTTGAAAGAAATCTTACAAGCATCTTGATAGAGAGGTTCATTTACAGGGACAGAGTGAGGAAGTGTCCTTTACATTGTCCTTTGAATTCCTTCATCTCATCTGGCGTATATATTAAACAAATAACTCTAACTAAACATTTCCTTCCTCCAGCTTAGAAGCTGTCCATACGAACCCAGGTTCATAGCTTCAAAATGTTGTGCTAATCCTCTCTGTGTTTATATAATCCCCTTCTGTTCCACATGCAGTTGACTTTCATTCCAAACCTGAGAATTTCTATGTCATGCGTAGTGACATGATGCAGATTTAAATGCATAATCTTTTCGAATGCATTGAAGACAGAAAATTGTGTTGCATTTGTTTAACATAACATGTTTCCTGCTTGATCAGTGATACCCACGCTTGCAGCCTTCCTCTAGAGTTAATGAAGGGAAAGAAAAGGAGATGAAAACCACAGTATGGTTTGAACAAAACAAGGCAAATTAGAAAAAATTCTCCAGACTGCACTGCTGCTTTTATGGAGGGAAGAGAACTAATATCCATTCAAATTATTGAATGGCACCGATTCAGTGGCACTTCACAACAACAACTGTGTTGCCAACCACTTTTTCATGTTTGAGTCATGTGATCAACACAGTACTCTCTAAAATTAAACAGTATTCATTCCATTTTGTACATGAGGAAACCGAGGCTCAGAGAACTAAAATATCTCCTTAGGTTTATACTCTTTTTTTTTTTTTTTTTTTTT